CGCCGCCGCCGCCCTCGCTATCGAGGATATCGACGCGAAGCGAGGGCAGCGACCTGAAGGGCCTCCCCAAGGGCTCAATGCGCTTTCAGGGCCACCCACCCCTTCCAATCTGAAAGGGGACGAGCCCCTCATCTCAATTCCTAACGCCTCAACTTATATCAATCCCCTCGTTAAGAGTGAACGATTTAATAGATATTTTTATTGTAAATAGTTATTTTTATACGCAGCCAACTAACTACAATGACATTTTCTTCTCCGTTAGCTCTTTCTGCCAGTCGATATTAAAACAATAGCACGTTTCATTATAAAATATCCAACGTATTAAAACAAGTATTTTGAACTGACTGTAGACCATCCGATTCATATCCCAAAACCGAAGCAACGTCTGAGCTATTCTTGGATACGAAGGACCAGTAACGAGAGAAAATGATACGAGCATACGAAACCTAATATCAAGCCTTTATGAATATACTCGCATCAACTCATGAAAACTAATATTAAGCCCCACGTGAACTTTGTAGCTCTACAAACATTTATTACACATTACATTAGAAATGCGAACCAATAAGCAAGCCTACCACGCTCCACTTTCAATTAAGGATAGAGCAGTGAGCTTTATGCTCTTACAATTTCGGAGTAATTTAGCTCTCCATGGCCCAACACCCCAATTGATTTCATATTCTCGTAAGATTGATTCCTTTTTAATGGAGTACATAATCAAATTGTCAAATTCAACACATTGGGAGACACTTCTATCCCTTTCAATATGCTTGGAACGGTGCGTTACGGTACAGTGGGGTTACGTCTTGCCTACAGGGGATTCTTTATAAATTGTTCGTATTTTGAATCTTCCGATGCATCTATGAAGTTTAGAAAGCAAACTAACAAGGCTATGGATTGCCTCAAATCCCACAACCAAGGGACTCTCTCATGCACTATTGTCCAATCACTGACCATGATAGAGCCTATTTTGTTCAAATATGTTCCTGTGTTGATCACGTGAACTCCGGCAACTTTGAGTGCTGTAGCTAAAAGCTCATTCCACCATGGGTAATTATTGTTAATGTTTTGGCTTTAATGCAAAGAAATTTGAGCTTTGTGTAACAACGTTTGAG